TATGATGTTCATTAACGTTGTAGACTCTAATCTCCTATGGACGAAGATGTCTGATACTCTTATGATGTTCATTAACGTTGTAGACTCTAATCTCCTATGGACGAAGATGTCTGATACTCTTATGATGTTCATTAAAGTTGTAGACTCTAATATCCTATGTACGAAGATGTCTGATACTCTTACGATGTTGATTAAAGTTGTACACTCTAATCTCCTATGGACGAAGATGTCTGATACTCTCACGATGTTGATTAAAGTTGTACACTCTAATCTCCTATGGACGAAGATGTCTGATACTATCATGATGTTGATTAAAGTTGTAGACTCTAATCTCCTATGGACGAAGATATCTGATACTCTTATGATGTTGATTAAAGTTGTAGACTCTAATATCCTATGGACGAAGATGTCTGATACTCTTAACAACTTTAATCAACATCGTCCATAGGATATTAGAGTCTCGAAGATGTCTGATACTCTTATGATGTTGATTAAAGTTGTAGACTCTAATCTCCTATGGACGAAGATGGCAAATTTTTACATATTGTTGAATAACCAGGTAGTTTTTTCGACGTGAATAAGGATAAGATCATTTCATACTTCAAGACAACCATCTACATTTTGCTAAAAGCAGAAGATAACCATTTTCTTACGTTAAGAACACATGTCGCCGATAACCAATACGTATTCACAGAAGACAAAACTGTCAATATTGAATTGCAATAATGTATAAAAATTGTATGCATATCTAATCACCAATACATTAGGTTCAAAACTATTTCTAGTTCAAAATTAATTAGCAGTAAAGAAGCATTAAAAATTTAATGTCAAATTTCATGTGACCACATACAAAATAGAGAAGATGGTATTCCATGGCTTTTGAAATTAAAAACTGTGTACAGAAAGATTAGGTTATAACAAAACTTTGTGGCATGCAAGACTGCAAGAAATAATGCTTCTTATAATATTGAAGTTTATTACCGCCCAATATATCTACAGTATTAAGTTAGGCACCAGAAATGTAACAGACAATGTTTTTAACAGGTAGAACATACATCTGAGAGACCAATCAGGGTGGCTAATAACTCTTCTGCATTAATCAAAAGAGGATCGGATCCTGAAGACAAGGACGATATGTTAATGTTCCAAGAAGACACTTCTGTGATATCAGAAGGAAGTTCTACCGATTCGAATATAGAAGAAGCACAGCCATCCCCTGCGATTATATCTTATTTTTTTCCCATTCTGTAAGATTTCAATATATATATATGTGTGTGTGTGTGTGTATTTGTAAATATTTGTAGTTCAGCTTGAGTTTTCTTTTTGAAATTCATGAATAAGTATGTCTTTAAGCATAACTTTCATCTTTTAAATAACAATGGGGGAGCTCAACGTTTTAATATTGACTTTCGTAATATTATATAGGCAGATTATCATATATTTTAGAAATAATATTTTTGAACTGTTCTATTGTAAAATCGATTTCAGAGATGATGCATTTTTTATCCCAAAACTACAGTTTAGTATATTACACTTTCATAATCAACTGCTCATTTTCTGTAAGTTCTATTTCTAATAATTTCATATTTCCTTAGAAAAGAAGTTTGAGTTTCATATCAATAAAAATGTTACCTTATAAAAAGAATTCACAAACATCGTTGAATGCAACGAGCTAATAAATGTTATTATCAAGAGATAAAATTCTTTCATTTTCATAGCTTCTTTTGGCTTCACAGAGGTTTCTATGTTGCAACAATATATGTTCAGTAAATATTACAATACCATTGCCAGGAGGTTATTAGTCACTTGAAATAAGATTGGCTTTTCTTAAGTGTCAAGTTCTGTTTATCAAACATCTCTTGAGCCCATCTTACATCCCAAAATTTACTATTGGCTGAATATCAGGCGGCTGTGTATGTACTGCCGCTGCAGCTCTTGCACTGTTCCTATAACCTCACTTTTGTGTGCTGCCTAATCTTTAATAGCACAATGTCACGTCGTTCGTTCCATATTTTGTCATCAGGGTGGGTTTTCATTCCAGGTGTCCATTAACAAAGAGAACATTTGCCCATTCCATATCTCGGTTGGTGCTTATCATTAAGGAGATCTTCTTGTCAGGTTTCCAAAAGTTCACATAAGTTTTGTCCATTCTATATCTTGGTTAAAGCTAGCCATCAGGGTGGGTCTACATAATAGGTTTCCACTAGGGGTAGGTCTACATAATAGGTTTCCACTAGCATAGTGAATCTTTGTCCATTCTATATCTTGGTTAAAGCTAGCCATCAGGGTGGGTCTACATGATAGGTTTCCACTAGCACAGTGAATCTTTGCCCATTCTATATCTTGGTTAAAGCTAGCCATCAGGGTGGGTCTACATGATACTTGGTTAAAGCTAGCCATCAGGGTGGGTCTACATGATAGGTTTCCACTAGCATAGTGAATCTTTGTCCATTCTCTATCTTGGTTAAAGCTAGCCATCAGGGTGGGTCTACATGATAGGTTTCCACTAGCATAGTGAATCTTTGTCCATTCTATGTCTTGACTGAAGCTTGTCATTATGGTGGGTCTTCAGGCCAGATGTAGACTAGCACATAGAAGTTTGTCCATTTCATGTTTTGACTAAAACTTGTTATCAAGGTGGTTTATTAACAGGTGTCCATTAGCTCACAGAAGTTTCATCCATTGTATATCTAGACTGAATTTTGTCAACAGAGTGGATCTTCATGCTAGATGATATTTAAGATGAACAACACGTCAGCAACATAAGATTTACTAGATTAAACATATTGTCATAGATTGGTTTATCACATAAAATCAAATTTATCTTTTTTCTGTACTTTGTATTCTTTGAAAGTCTTATGATACTACAAAGAGGTTTAGTACAATACAGGTCCATTTTTATAGGTTGCTGGCCTTTGTTACTTGTAATATTGTAGAAAAGAAGTCATTCTGGGTCCATGTGAGATCAACATTATACTGTCCTTCACATAGAAAGTCGAAGTTCCTCCGGAATATGTATTGAGTATCACATTGCCATTACTGAATAAATTCCTCCGATTTCTTAAGCAGCATTTATGTTGATTTCATCATTCATCTATATAAAACATATTAAGTGGCAGTACCAATCTTTCTAAAATACGATATGTAGGTGAAAACACTAGGAATGGATTTAAACTTCAAACTTTTAATTCCTTTTACATGCACTTCTGTCACCATTTAGAATTATACCTTGGTCCTGAATTCCATCTGGGAGATACATAAATTCCTGTGGTGACTAAGACTAAGCCAAGTGTACAAGGGCACTATAAACGTTTTTTTTTTGTCTCTTTTACACCTTTGGATGAGTAACTTAATATACATGCTCAAGACGTATCGTGTCTTATTCAGTCTAAGCTCGATCATGTATTGGACAATGATTGGCTAAATAGCTTACAGTGTAATTAAGAGAAATTAATTATCTTCACTAGAATCTATATGTAGGGAGGGTCCTTTTAGCACGTCATTTTCTTTTATAAGATAATTACCAGACAATTTATGAGTAGTATAAAATCATAATTACCAAATCCATACTCTCATGCCATCTGTAAAAATTCATCATGTTCGGGTAGGTTTTCTACTTTTGAAAATGAGTGACATTAGACAGCTCGATAATGTTTGAGCTTTTTATGGGCTATTGGCTTTTTATCTCTAGTATTTCATTTCTTTTTTATATAAGAAACAAAAATCATACATCTTATATACTGTAATTTTAATCATCTTTATAATCACTTTTACTTCCTTTGTACTTTACATACGACACATTTGTGGCACAAATACTCATTTTATTTTGTGTCAAAAGGCTCTGAAATAACAACAGCAGTAGCATTAAACTCAGAATTCGATATATCACAATAGAGTTGCAAAAAGAGCAGAAGTAAATCCAATTGTAACTAATACTGTGGATACAGTGATACAGCGGTGTGTGTGTGTGGTGGTTGAAATCCAACCCATATATGTATAAAACATTTCTAAAGTATATAAACAGTCTAAAATAACATCGAAATGCTAAGTTTCCAATACAAATTACTAAACAATTACCGAGATGGCATGTTCCTGGACCACCCAGTATTTGTTTCCTCAAAAGAGCATCCCCTTTATGGATTTTTGCTTACGCTCCTGCATACAAACACATTAAGCTCTGGTATAATCATTTGTTTGTTGCAAACTTATCTGCACTATCCGTACCTAATTTTATGGTGACAGACTAGAAGGAAAGCAGCTACATTAGCCATCACAAACTCTTGGGCGTCTCTTTTTAAACGAATAGTGGGATTGAATGTCACATTATAATGTCCCCACCAATGAAAGGGAGAGCAAATTCAGCAAAGATTGTTCTTTGTTGCCCCTCAATGACCCAGCAGGAGGTCTGCAGACATATGATGCTGCAATTGGGTTGTTTCGATACCAATGGTTGGGAGAGCACATATAGCTCATTGTGTAGCTTTGGGCTCAGCAAAAACTGACCGAAGTTATGCACTAAAATATGACAAAATAAAGGTTCTTCTCTTTTATTTTATTTGTTAGCTTCAGAGATGTTTATTGATAATAAAATATCTTTATTTTCATTTACTACTTTTATAGGTTTTGACTGAGCTTTTTCATTATGCAGGGTTATACATTTTTCGTTTCTGATTAATTGTAAATCTACACACTGGGTAATCTGTACTGTGCCCACTGCAGGTATAGATATCATAGTTTTAGCAGGGGGTTGGATCATAAATAGAATTACTTATCTTCAGAATACGCTAACATAATGTAAAGTCAAAGGAATATAGGCTTGGAATGACCTGTTGGTTACGGCACTTGACTTGCAAGTTGGTTGCAAAACTAAACACGGTCTCTCAACATGCTTATCCTTTAGTTAGGGCATTATACTGTGACGGTAAATCCCACTATTTTATTAGAGAAGCCCAAGAGATGTCGATGGATAGTGTTGACTAGCTGACTTACGGAAAGTCAGTTTATTAGTCTGTTTGAGGCCATTCTATGGCTGCCTTTTTTCTAATGTAGCTCGTTATGAACTTATGATATAATGAATTCAAAAGTGATAGATATTTAAATTAGTTTTATTATGAATCCACAAGTGATATACATTTAACCATTTTATATAATGAGTTTCAAAGTGATAAATACTTATGTAGAGAGGCTGTAAGTGACAAATATTTAAATTATGTAATACGTTTGATTTAATTGTTGTTAAGCGTGGAGCTTCACAATGGGCTGTATGTGCTCTGCCCACCACGACTATCGAAACCCAAATTTTACCGTTTTAAACTGAGCCATGGGAGGGTTATTTAGCGAAACTTGAAGTGATAAATATTCAAATTATTTAAGTAACGTGGCTAGAAGTAATAAATGGCTAAACTACTCATGTAATAAGACCAGAAGTGATAACTATTTTAAACTAAGACTAAGGTGTTTCTGTGATTTAATAATCACTTTATTTTTATGACTGAAAATATACTAACATCAAATCAAACCACTTTAATTGTATATATAAAGTTGTTTAATTAAACAATAGAATGACATTTTTGTTCTTCAGCACTGTTTCATAGCTGTCTGAAAAACAATGATTTGGGTAGTTTCGGCTGACTGTGGTATTAAGCTGTAGTGTACTAGAACTACAGTACTACAGCTCAAACCAGAACATGGGCAGAATTGAAACAGTTCCACAACAAAGATTAATACTTATTAGTTAATATATATATATAAAATGTGAAGCATATACGAATTAGACTTGGGTATTATGATAGGTTTTACAAGTATTAATAATATAACAAGATGTTTTATTTTTAGACGTATAGACAAACAATTATAGAGGATGATACATTTCTAGCCACAACGGGATCTATATCTGCAGTTGTCCACACTGTCCTTAAAGTGGTCGTAGGCATAATACAGGACAAAATATCTTACAAGGTAAGGAACCCAACAGACAAAACGATATCTTATAGATAAAAATCAGCATCGGTACTTTTACAATAATACTTTCAACTGAAAGCAAGTTAGCCAAAGAAAGTGTATACATCATTTATCCCTCATTCAAAGAGAAATTAGCAGCAGTAGTGCCACTCAACTTATGCTATTGTAGAAGGCCAGCTGACCCACCTCTACCACTCTATCGGAGCTATGTCCTACTTTTTTTACCTATCATATATCAATAAATGACTGTAGTAATAGATCATATTTTTCTCGTACATAATGCACAATTGAATGACAAATGACATTATGGTCTCAGAAATGAGACTGACATGTCTTTTGCAGAAACATCGCTCTTATTGTCCAGATATCCTTTCAAAATGCATCTTGTGTCCAGCAGATCATATATCAAAGCCAGACAGTTTTGAAATCAATATGGGAAATATAAGTCCCATATCCTTTCAATTTTGTAAGCTAATAGCAAAAATAATTGGCTGATTTACATAAAACTGTCAACAGCCTTGGAGAGTTTTTTATGCCACTGAAGCTATTACTCTTGTCAACTGTCATTTTGGCCTGATTGCCACTTTTATTATAACTGAGCATTCAATCTGGAAGAATTTTGTCTACCTCATATCCAATTAAATAGCAGTTGGATTGGACCATATGATGTGTATCATACATAAGAGACGCTACACCATTTCTTTCCTGCTTCTCTGGATATTTTGGTTCTTTTTCGTTAGGCTTGACAACAGGTAGAATTTCACAGTCTGTGGCATTGGGCTATTGTTATCCAAAGATTCCACATAAGTATAGAGATATTCTTTAGCTAGACAGTTAATGCCCATTTTCTTTGGAATAAGTGAATAAAATGTCTTCCTTTCTGATATTCAATATCGTTTATATAGACACCAACTAAACTACCTTATTCAACATGAGACATCAATCAGAAAAGAATTTCTGAACATAGAATATATCATTTCTATCTAGAGTTAAGTATATGGAAGCATTGAACATCATCTCTTCCACCTACTTGGGAGTGGATAGGTGTTTCTACATTAAGAGTCTATCACACGCTTTGTTTTTCAAATCCAAAATGTGGATTTGTGGTTTAGTTCTCCACAATAGACTCTGAACTAACGATTTTGGTCTCTGTGCATCATTGTGGACTTTAGTTCTGCACAGAACTTTTCATTTTTCCATTTCAGAATTTTAACACAAATCATTAAGAAATTCCAATTCACGTTCTGTTTGAGATTTTCTTTCTTGTCAGTGTTTCTACACGCCTTGTGGAGTTATGCTTTTTCAAGTAGATAGTCTGCTTTCCCAATTTGACCTTCAAATCCAGGAAATGTAGACTGAGATGGGTTTGACATTGGATGACATTGCTGAATCTGACATCAGCACATCCAAATACGGAATGCTCCCATTTTCACGTGTGATGTGGTCTTCCTCAGAGTTACCTGAAAAAGCCAGATATTCCTGACTGGAAGTACCAACTTCTTTTTAATGCACACCTTTCAATTACCTTTTCACTCTCATTTTTATAGATGGCTTGGAATCAGGTGACCCTGTGATCACTGCCATGGTTTACTGTATCTCTCACGTTGTTCACATAATTTCTTATAGAGATTGAAGTGTTCACTGTTGAGTTATATGCAATATGACTGGATTACAAAGAATATAAGTGGTACATTAATTGTACCATCTATAGTGACTCTCTTACCTCTTTTGAGGCTATGGAATCGCTTAACAATAGTTCTTGACC